ATCTAAATAGGTAATCCTGACTAATTTAGGTTTTTGTTTTCAAATAAAGATCGTCTATCGTTTCTCCCGGACACAACAATCTAGATTTGTCTCCCTTTGTCTTCTAACATTTGCCAGAACTAAAATCCAGGTTAAAAACGCATTGGGCGAGATTAAAGAAAACACAGCAATGGTGATCCCGAAAATAAGAATTACGTGTATCAAGCGACTTATACCTAATTTCGAAGTTAATTTTAAGGGGGTCACATCATACACGAGATATAAAATTAGCGTATCTACTGCTGGCCCTGGCTATGCCGTTGACAAAATTTTATATCCATTTACTGTAGTGAAAAAGTGCAGCCGTATTTAAATTAAACATCGCGCGTTACACCAGTATATCCGGTATGCAAACTATTTGAAAAAGTGAAAGTGATATTTTGAGTGCTTGGAACTGTATTTCTATTCCGTCACCAAAATGAGTCTACTACATATGGGAGTGCGCGTGACCATTTTAAACTAATTCATTTTATTTATTATATTTTATAATGATATGTATTAGTATAGGAGTAAACGAAATTGAATACTGGATAGGCAGCGTTAGGGATACTTTTGTCCAACAACGAAAACTGCTACAAAACAGCATTAATCTAAGAGCTTGGGGTATGTTCTTAAATAGCCTCGTCAGATTGAGAGATATGGATATAATATTTGGTACCCAACCCGTCCAGAAATGTTTCATCTATCAATTGCATGTAACCGCATTCTCAGATCAATGATGAAAAATGGCTTCTAGCGAATAATGCCTTCAGGTCGGCGAGAACCCCATTCTTCGAACCCCGTGGGCTCACGCGGCAGAATCACAGCGTAATGTACCAAATAACAAAAAACGATATCAGTTAAGGATTTCTAACAGTAGTAGAGAACTAAAATATATAGCAAATTTAAAGAGAGAAAAACTAATGTAATCAAAATATTGATGTTCCACACTTAGAAAAAAAAGCCCCCATCAATACTAGAAAAGCAATAACATTTAGTGGACATGAGATAACCTATTTTCCTAAAAAATTGTTTTTAATAGAAAGATTTTATAAATTTAAAAGGACGGTAACACTGGCTGTTAGATCAATGAATAACGAATATTACTTTATAAGGAAAGTGTTGGTTACCACCCCTTGTTTAGTGGTAGTTCAGGGTTCAGTCGGCAGTGTTGAAATGTCACCAGATTGTTTTTTGTTGTAGAATAGTTTTCACAGTGGGGGCTTGTATTTCACTAAGTCGGTCCTAAAAAGGTTCGACGTACAAAAACGTTAGGAACTTGAAATAATAGTTAATGACGCAGCAATCTAGTTGTGGTGGTTGATACTTTAATGTCCGACATCGACTGACTCACCAACTCACTGAACTCCCTAGCGACTGCTACTACTACTACTTATTATATGTGGGAGAGTCTATTTACAATAGAATAGGTATGTTCTGGTATAACAGTTTTCAAGGCATTGAAGGTAACTAGCCTGTTTGCCGCCCATATGTTAGAGCTAGGTCGGAGGTGCGTATGCAACCACTAATCTGAATTTGATTTTTTAACATAGAAGTAAAGTTACATGGGCGGGGCAAGCATTGACAAGTAAACTATTTGTTAAAACCATTTCAATTTCAATATTTCAATCTGTACGTTAAATTAGCATTTTGACTGAACAATTATTTCGGGCTTTATATTTTCATGACTTGGGTTTTGCCAGTCACCCGTAATTGAATATATATTTTCCAACACACATTTAACAAGGAAAAGAAACAAGCCCAGTGTAAGAACAGTGGGGTTAAGTGAATGAATTAACTGAAAGTGTGATTTAATATTAAGTTTCAACTTCGTATAAGTTCGAATGTCTCCTATTGAAAGTAATTCGAGCAAAGAATTACAACTACGCTTATCACATCATTCATTAGGCAGTTAGCAAAGACATTAGAACCGATTAATCGAAAATTGGGACGACGCTACTAAAAGGATGTTATTTCAATTAGTTCAATCATATATATATATATATATATATATATATATATATATATATATATATATATATATCATTGGAATCGCAGTAACGATCCAATATATCAGACCTACAAATTCCATTATTATACTCTTGCTCTGTCTTGTACATTGAGCACTACCTGGATTCTATCCTTTTGTATATATATATATATATATATATATATATATATATATATATATATAGATAGATACACCTAGTGAGCCAGACAAACCTACCTAGGTTTCACCTAAACGGATCGTCACGTGGTATGATTTTGGCTATCACCTATAATATGTGTTCTCTTTGCCTCGTTAGCCAAACTTTCCCTGACGATCCGTTTAGGTGAAACCTAGGTAGGTTTGGCTGGCTCACTAAATGTATCTAGGTCTGCACTACGGTTGTATTGAGCTCTTTTGTTAGTTAGTTGTTACTCGTATCGGGTTTTTTCTTTGGGCTTCAGACCTGCATCTGTGCGATTTTTGTCGGCAGAAGTTCATGTTTGTAGCTCTTTCTTTTTAAAACCTTTTTTTCCTCGAGATTGATTTGATTAGCAAATCAAAAATTCGAGGGCTTTTCGAAACGAGTCTAGTTATCTATTTATATATATATATATATATATATATATATATATATATATTGACAACTATATATATATATATATATATATATATATATATATATAATTGTCACAAAAATTATAATAAATAGTAATAATTGTCCCAGGCAATACATAGTATAAATCTCAAGGAATCTAAATAAAAGATTATATGAACGCAAAAGAGACATTTTACGAAATAATACATTAAATGTATTAGTTGTTCACCGTTACGAAACTGGCCACAAGTTTGACATAAAGATACTACTCTTATCAAAGGAGAAAATAATTCACTAAGACAAAAATATCTCGACTGTACATTGATCGCAAGCTCTTCTACACTATATATGACATCTGTCTCTTACAATATTTCAATATTCTGGCAGATCTTCTATTATCCCATTGTGGGATATTTAATAACAAGAGTGATGGAAACAAAAAAGTAAACGAATCTAAACGAAATCGGTTAGATTATATACCATAAAAAATGAAATTTAAAATTCCCATCATCCCTTGTCTGTGCACATGTGTGGCCACACCAACGTAATAAATTTTGTCGGGAGTCGATTATTTGTTTATTTATTTATTTGGGTTAAATTATCTTGCTTGTTTTTATTTATTTTTATTTTTTATTTATTTTTTTTATTATTAAAAATAAAAATAAATAAAAACAAACAAAATAATTTTTAAATAAATAAACAAATAAACGACTTCCGGCAAAATAACTGTCAAAATAGACTACCCACAATGCACCACTGACTCGTATATATAAATAGCCGAGGAAAAAAAAATTACTCGTGGCCTGACGATTACATCTAGCATGAAACAGACAGTCGCCTCTAAGTGTTGACTTCAATGTTCACTTATATATATATATATATATATATATATATATATATATATATATATATATATATTGGGACACTGTTAGAATTAAAGGGGCTAATGTAAAATGTAAGCTAGGAATATGAGAGTAGAGGAAGAGAGAATATCAAGAAATCGGCGTGCAAGAGGAAATCGCTAACGTATATTCCGGCTTATTCCCTAAGAGTGAGAATTAAAAACAGAACTAAGAAATGGTGAGTTATGATTGTCAACAAAAAAGGAAGTTACGATTGGCAGGCCAAGCCTAAAGGGACACCTGAAATATAATAGCGGAAATATAAACAACTCGGGAGACAAGACTTAATCTGTCAAATGAAAAGGATATTGAAATGAGAAACGAACCTGTAAGGTCTGCAGGATAACCTGAGGGTTGTAGGAGTGGGATGGCTGGTTAAAGTGCACTAGAACAAACTAGACCAAAATCCGGGAAATAATATTTTTTATGGAAAATCAATGATTAAAATAAGACTAGCTTTTCGCTGACTCGGTTAAAAATCACAATTATCAAAAAGACAGCCAAATCTTCCCCGTGGGGGATGGTCACAGGTGGAATACCAGGAGAAGAGGAGAAAAGGAGAAAATTCACCTCCACCCATTTGGAAGTAATGGTGCGTAGCATAAATAAGAACAATTATGAGTTATAAAAACTAGACGGTATATGCAACTAAATCAGAAAGTTGCGGGATTACCGAAACCTTAGACGAGTTGAAACAACGCCAATCTTGGGCCGGACTCGATATAAACAGATTGTGTTGGCGACTCACACAGGAGAGAGAGACGAGCGGCAAAGACCGGACGAGCTGACAAAAACGACGCATTACCGGTTAACGGGAGAATAACGTGTTCAGGGACAGTGTGGATCGAAATGCCTAGCAACCAATAACCAGTTGACCGACAACGGTACTGACCAGTCGTGGGCAAAATTCGAGACGGATATGTAATATAATTGGCCCTGATCTGGCGTCTCGTCTACAGTCACTCTCTTACAGACGCGCCGTCGCCTCTCTCTGCCTTTTCTACAAATACTTTCATGGTAATTGCTCCGATGAGCTGCTTTCACTGGTTCCCAGACTCCGTGAATTCAAGCGCCCTACGAGGCTGGCATCCCGCTCCCACCCTTACACTGTAGAAACTTTTAAATGTAGCCGTCTCTTCTACTCCAATAGCTTCATACTTCGCACCTCTCGTCTGTGGAACACCCTTCCCAATTACTGTTTCCCTGAGAGCTATAATCTCCAACTATTCAAATGTAATGTCAATCGACATCTCCAGTTACCTTGATCTACCCACTATCCCTCTCCTCATCCTTTCTTCTATCACTCCTATCCGCTCTCGCTCCAAATCTTCTGCAACCTCCTGCATCCTAGTGGCTTCACGCCTTGCTCGGGGCGTAATGCTTAATATATATATATATATATATATATATATATATACAAACAAATCCTTAACAAGAACATCCGTTGGTCTTTAACCAAACTTTTATGAATAAAAAATAATGGTCAGATACTCACAATATACATGCCAATTCCTCATAAAGAAAGAAATGGCAAAAAAAATGATAGATATGAAAAATACATATGGATAGTCTAAGATAGATACGAAGTGACTTAGATAGAGCGATAGAAATGAAAAAATTAGATATGAAGAGTCTAAGATAGATAGATAGATAGATAGATAGATAAAATTAGCTAAAGAGGAGAATACACTTAGTGACATACAAGTAAGAAAACGACGCGCGTCGAGAGGTTCTGACGTGTGTTCGTTAATCACGTGAAGCGAGCATCCAAGAGAAACTCGACAATCAGTAATGTCTGTGGAAGAGAGACATTCCGGCGTCACGCTGTAAGCTCTAATTAAATCTTGTTCCTTTGCAAGCCACGTGACCGCGTGTCTCTTTGTGCGAGCAGAGGCGGCCAGCTGCGATCTGTCGACGGTGCCGCCGACGTCATCTCCAACGGAAGAGAAACTCGCTCGATACGGAGCATTTGACGTGATACGTGCATGCGTAGATGTAGGTGGCGTAAGTCCAGTAAAAGACGCATGATATTCAGGATGGTTAGGCTATCGGAAAATTCACATCATTAGAATTTGTAAGGAGGCGGGGGTTGGTGATTGGACACTGTATTTGACGTCCCCAGACGCATGTTTTAAAAGAGCAATAGCTGTCCATTTCGAGCGCTGATAGAAAAGAGCCTAGTCATAACAACAGCGCATTGGACGCCGTGAGACATTTTCGTAATCAATTAAACAAATATATATATATATATATATATATATATATATATATATATATATATATATATATGTATGTATATGTATTAAATTTTATTTGATATATATATATATATATATATATATATATATATATATATATATAAAACTTGAGGTGATGGTTGTAATGGTTAGCATATATATATATATCAAATTTATATATATATATATATATATATCTCAAATTTACACACACACACATATATATATGCATATATATGTCTATATTTTTGAGATGAGGTATTATGTACACTATAGCATTTTTTGGGATTACATCTCTATTTTCGTTGTCCTCTTATTACTGAGAAGTAAAAATAAGAACAAAATCTATTTCCATACCTGATGATGTCTGTAGGAACAGACGGAAGATTGTAAAAAATTAAAAAGACCTTATGCAACTGGAATTTATAAACGGGGATCATATCATTCATATACAGGTTCGGGGTTGATGTATCTTATTTATATTGTTTGCGACGAAGTATTCTCGCCATTTAAATCATTAACCTCTATATTTGTTTTTTGTATGAATGATTCATGAATTTATAAATTATATTTGCACTTTTAATTGGAAATATATATATATATATATATATATATATATATATATATATATATATATATATAATTATTTATTTAAAAATTATAACATAAATATGTCATAAAAATCACTAAAAAATAGCCATTTTGTTTCAACACTTCCAGTGTCTTATTAAGTGATGATGTTGAATGTAGAATAAATGTTTTTAAAAAAATGTAGAATAAATGGTTTTTAAGAATTTTTTTTAAGAATAGTAATTGTTGGTTATTGGAATTTATTCTGTATACACCAATCCTATACTTTGGTATATATATATATATATATATATATATATATATATATATATATATATATATATATATATATATATATAGTTTTAAGGTGTGCTATATTTATGGGATAAAATACTCAATATCAGAGATAGAACGTATCTAAATATAAAAGGGAACATTGAAGACAACACTCAGAGGCGACAGGCTGTTTCATGCTATATATATCACTCACTTATAGGAATCCAACATCCTGTATTCAGCTCTTCAAAAGGTGTGGTTGGTTCTGCACAAAGCCATCACCAATATAATCAAATGGTCTGTGCGGATGATCTGGTTGTCAGTTTCTAGGAACTGAGTTGCTTGGCATTTATACTTCGAAAACGACGGGGAGACTCGCCATTCCATTATATATATATATATATATATATATATATATATATATATATATATACGAGGTATGCTGCAGAAATTTTGAATTTTCTTTTTAGGAGAGGCAGCTATAACTGTGCAAGATTATTATAATTTTAGTATATAATTACTCTACATCTAATAAGCAGACCTGCCAAATTTTGTTATTCCAGATTGAAGGAGACGACCGTAACAGCCCATTGGACACACCCTACTAAACACTGCTCGTCACTGATGACTAGTCTGAAGAATGCATTCGGGACGAGCAGATTATTTGGGAAGCATACTATATAATAAAGAATCGGGTTGACAGCGATAGGAATCAAAATTTTCCGTCACCCTCCCTATAGTTCAAACCTTGCTCACTGTGATTTTTGTTTTTCCCCAAGCTGAAGGAGAACCTCAGAGACATTCATTTTGAAGTACCTTAACCTCCTAGAATAACCCATTGCTTTTGGGGAAATTGAATCAATGATTTTGTTTTTCAATTTTGGAAAAAAATTTTAGATGGATGAGGCATCATATTTCTGAAATTCTGGTGATAGAAATTCTCAGACGTGCGGTATTGGAAATAATTGATGAAAGATATTACCGCCAACTATTGTCAGATCTTGTATTCATAATTTACCAGGTTGCTCTCTTAACGGCATGGACGCAAAGACTCACTTGGCCTAGTGATATTGTTAATTGGATACAGGATGATTAGTAACGTGCGTAATATTCAAACGTCCATGTTTGTTTTAATATTTATAACTACTGCAAGGAAACTTATTTGACAAATAGAACGTGCCAATATATGTTTCAAATAATATAAACATACAAATCATAAGTTTGTTACACTAGGCTCTGTGCATTACATTTGATGTGACAGTAGTTATAAATCTGAAAACAGTCAAGCGTCCTGAGGTTATATATAATGCACAAAATATTAGTTTAGGCGTTTTCTCAGCCGTCCTGCTCAATAGTGGACCCTTTTCTTAAGCGCCCTTAGTTTTACCATTCTTTTAAAAATCATGGCTCCTGTATATTTCATATGATGCACGGACTTGGAAATCGCATGACCTGTGCATCACGTATGATGTGCAGGACAGGTAAAGGGTTAACATCTTACGTACGGGCAGCGTTTCCAAGATTTAATACGTGTGCTGATGATGACGGAGTAGTGCAACGTAGAAGTTAGCCAATCAGTGACGGCTTTAGAACCCAGCCTATATCACAAGAGCAAACTCTATCCAAATAAGTAATTACCAAATAGCCGTCATGTCCTTGAACCATAACCTTAGCTGGCATCATGACTTACGCTAAACTGACCCGGTCCAGATAATTAATGATACATGCTCTGTCTACTTTTCATCAGGTATTCCCAGTAGCACAGGTCTAGGAATGTCTAATGTCCCCAGAATTGCTGAATTCGGATGCCACATCTATCTTGCATCCTCTTGCAAATTCCAAAAAATCCTGCTATCTTGTCATGGCCAAGCCTATCTGGTGCTCAGACTGACTCACCAGATGCCAGACTAGAATTTATGTGGGTTTTGGTATTTCCATGACATCAACGTAGAGTTTAACTACTTGCTTCTTTATCGACTGCTTCAATGACTTTTGGCACGTCTGAGTATCTTATGTTTCTTTGTCCTGCAAATTGTTTAACTATCTAAAAAGAAATAATTCACAATGGCCATTTGCTTCAGTGTAAATTTCACTCAGCATTAAAGCATCGTATAAGGTTTCTAAAAAACACTGAATGGTTTTTCTGAAAAATTCTTAAAATAAAAAATATATTAAAAAGCAGAATGATATAAAAAAAAAGAAACAAAGTCTCCTATAATCAAGACTTTATCTGATATAAACACATCAAGTCCTGATATGGGACAAGATGTTTCTTTTGAGTCGACCTGTGTGTCTGGCGCCAAAAATGACACTAACAGCTTCCGCCATTTTTAGTGTGACGCACGCCGTAAGTAATGATGTCAGTAAATGTTGGATCGTAATAAAACTTCTTTCCGACTGCCATTTAAACAATTCGAGCATAAGATATAAAGCCAAAAAAGAAAGAAAGAAAACAAAAAACAAAAAATGAATGAAAGAAAGAAAGAAAGAAAAAAAACGAGGCTGAGTTGATTAATATCTTACGTACAGGCAGCGTCTCCATGTTTTAATGCGATTAATTTCTTGCGAAATTAATAAACTGGTAAGGGAGAAAAAGTATAAAGAAAAGTAAAATCTTTTAAAAAATAAAACCTATTCAATAATTCAAGTTCAAATTCAACCGTTTTAAGTCAAATATGGCCGAATCGCACCTTAAGACGTGACTAATTTTGAGTACTTTGGTTGAAGGCATTCCGATTGCTTTACGTTTGTCTCTTAAACCGAAACTCTTTCTATTTTTAAATTAGAAATTCCAAGGCCTATGTCTGTATCACTATTCCTAAATCCATCGCTGTGTACGCCGGTCGGAAGATAACGTAGCAATTTCAGATGAATCTTTATCTTCTAAGTTTGCAGGCAGAAAGAAACAAGGTAGGGTGAAAAATCTGACTGGAAGATAAAACTGTACAGCAAGTCAATCATTAGAATATAAGCGGAAGACAAATCGAGGACGAGAGTTAATTTCCGTGTAAACCAAAGACGGACATTATTTGGAAAAGTGTACATAAGACTAAAAAACACGAATACCTTGTGACCCGCAAGAACTACATTAGAAAAATAAATGCATTATGCATGGTGGACAGGCAACTAATACTTTTACATAACTGTCATTAATATTTTACTTTTATTTTGTTAATATTTTAGACGTCAAAAAATATCAATAGGTTGAAAAGCTACAATAAACTAATTTTTAAAATTTGGTTTTAAAAAAATCTCCACACAGTGCCCGTAGCATCAGAAATTGTTTTTGCGAGTGAATATTTCACTTACAACTTTTTGGAGACAACAATGATTTTTCTAGATACAAGTAGAACTATTTAACCCATAGGTGGAGGAAAATAAATGAAATCTTACCCTTCTCAAGAGTATTTGTACGTAAGTGAATGTAACGAATCAGAATGGAATTGAACTCGGCTCTCGAAATCAACTGCACCCCACCACACACAAAATAAACCGGCATATATATATATATATATATATATATATATATATATATATATATATATATATATATATATATATATGTGTGTGTGTGTGTGTGTATGTATGTGTGTGTGTCTGTGTGTATCTGTGTCTGTGTGTGTGTTTGTGTGCGTGTGTGTAAACAGTAATTTTTAAACGTATTTTTTAAAGTTTGATTTTCCTAAACAGTGAAATTAATGTCAACCGGCCTAGATGGAGAAAATTGCCGTTTGAGAAGAATCGAAACTGTAATTCCTTTATCCAGCCAGAAAAACGCTCCTCGTTCTTGATTTATCCAGGGTTAATAATACAGGGTATTCTATTTTCTAGACTGGTTGCCACTCACAGCTATAGACCCCAGTCTACCATGTTATTTAATCCATTGCTAAGGATGAGGAAAAGAGGGATACAGAACGTTCCTAATGGATGTGTTACAAATATGAACGCAACTTAACCTCAAGGACACATGGCACAGTGGATAAATGGCACAGTGGATAAAGGCATTTGTTAGATCCAGTGACAGGACCCAAATAATGTGAGTTCAATACCCGGTTAAGGTAGTGGAGAATTTTCAGAGGGGAATTAACAGGAGATAACTGATAACTGACATCCTTTAAACATGGCACGTGGAACTAGAACCGTCTACCCCAGTGAACGAAATAAAGGGTTCAGTTCGACATTCCAACCACCTGAAGAAGGTTGGAGCGTACAACGGCCGAAACGTTTTAATAAATATGGCGACAAAGATGAAGACAATAGTCCGAATGATGTAAAGTCGGCGATTACTATGATATATGCTGAGAAAAGTATAGTATATCCATGAAATAATGATATTCAGACAGAAGTGTTACACTGATTGATTGGTTTGTTTTTACGGCTTATCAACCTTTTGGAGGTTATTTAAAGTCAGAAAATTTTTTTAGATTGTAAAAATCTTTTGGAGATATAATGATTTACTGATACAAGTCCTACTAATTAACCCATAGCTGGGGGGAAGAGAGATGGATTCGTAATTTACCAAGGGTATTTTGGCGTAAGGGAATATAACAAGACCGACAGGAATTGGAACTCGGCTCTCCTATTTCCAATTCTGAGCCTTTATCATTTACACCACCCACATATCAAAGCTTACAGCTCCTGGTCTTCCCAGGCGGTTCCCCATCTATGTACTGACCAGACTCGACGTTGCTTAGATTTCGGTGATCGTACGTCAACCGATGCTTAGAATTGTTAGATACTGATGATGTGAGCGTAAAGTTAACAGTGAGTTAACTGTTGCTGAAAAAAAATCAAATCAAGTATAAAAATCTTGGAGAATTAAAGATCTGTCTTATATCTCTTTTTCGTGTCCAAATCAAACGACTTCATAACACTGTTGTCTAATGAATCATTCTGCTACTGGTGAGATCAACCATTTCCATGTAGGAAACATTCGCTATTCATTGGCCGAGGATTTAACGTTACTATCGTTTGCAAAAAGAATTATAAAATCTTTTTCTTAAAGCAATTTTCGCAGGAAAATATTTGTTATGGCTCTTTCTTGTGTTGATGGAAATTCCCTTCCTCACTTTAGTAATTTCATTAGTAAAATAATAAGACCTAGATGGCAAACTAGTGATGCACTTACATTCTTAGAACCGAGGTATCGACGAGGAAGGCTGTTTAGAACAATTGCCATGTTTGTTAAAAGCTGCAAAAACGATAAATGATATAATGAAAACTGTTAAGAATTCCTACTTGGAAGGCGTAGCGTCAGTTTATTTTTTTTAAACAGTTTAAGAGTTAATCGACCACTCAGTTGTAATCTCGTTGTAAAAGTAGACACAGGCATTCGTTATCATCTGTCAAGATTGAAATTCTCTTGTTTGATCTTTGGCTTTCTAATATATTTTAATGAATATAACCTTTTACCAGTTTGTTTAAAGTTCAGCCCATTTTATATTTTTTGTTTGGACCAGACTGACACAATTAGGAATTTACGTCAATCCTTGTGGATCATTTATGAAACAGATGATACGTCACGACTCTTAGATTGTGTCGTTCAGAAAAAAAAAAAGTCTGTTTCCTTTATCATTAATTATGGCATTTAATTGAAAACAACGAGAGAATGTCGATTTTCAGTCATTGACTGAACGGAAACAGCACTAATAAGACAAAAGGAATTCTACTAAGGTTTGAATCTGGTTTCACTTCATAGTAGTTTATTACACCATTCTTTTCAAACAGGTGTTAAATACGCCCTTTTTATTAGTGTTATCAGTTAAATACACCCTTTTTATTAGTGTTATCAGTTAATTACACCCTTTTTATTAATGTTATTAGTTAATTACAACATTTTTATTAGTGTTGTTAATTATTGACACCATTTGAATTAGTACTATTTGTTAATTACACCAGTTTTTATTAGTACTTGTATTTCTTTATACCATCTATATTAGTGCTATTAGTTAATTACACCATTTCTGTTAGTGTGGTTTGGTACTCACACCATTTATTGTCACTGGTATTGATTAATTCCACCATTTTTATTAGTGCTATTAGTTATTTGCATCATTTAATATATTGCAATTAATTAATTACCCCATCATTTCTTACTGCTATAAGTTAATTGCACAATACAGGGTTTGAAATTTTTTCCACACTTATTTATTAGTGTTATCATTTATCTACACTTTCGTTTATTAAAGTTATTAATTATTTAAAACTTACCTATCAGTGTTATCATTTGCATTCTTTTAATAGTGTTATTAATTATTTACACCTCCCCGTTTGTTAGTGTTATTAATTATTTACCCTCCAATTTATTAGTGTTATTAATTATTTGCCCTCCCATTTATTAGTGTTATTAATTATTTACACTCCAATTTATTAGTGTTATTAATTATTTACATCTTCGTTTATTAGTCTTATTGTTATTAGACCTTCTTTTATTACTGTTATTTACACCCTCGTTTAATTGTGTTATTAGTTATTTATAGCCACATTTATTAGTGTTATTAATTATTTACACCCTTTTTTTTATGAGAATGAATAATATTAATAAATCAAAAGGAAAGTTAAGAGAAGTCAAATTGTCTTTCTTGAATGAACAGGGTAGAGTTTACTTTTAAATAATAACATAAATATAAAGATGACGTAATGATTGCCGCCATACCTTTTTGTTTTTTTCTCTGTGATCGTCT